ACATAAACTTTTTATTAATGCTCTAATTTATGTTATCACTATGCAGAAAGCAACATCTTGTTAAATAGATATCTAATAAATAAAATTCATGTGTACCAGGCTAGTATTTTCAGGAGCTTTTCTTCAAGAAAGTAAGAAAAATGATTAATTGAACTCAGTAGTTGAGTCTATAACACACATTTAGTACAAATTCATTTTAACTTTTATATTTTTAGGCAGTGCTGAAACACGAGAAAAATAACTACAATGCCTGGGTGTTTATTGGCCTGGCAGCTGCAGAGTTAGAGCAGCCTGATCAGGCCCAAAGTGCTTACAAAAAAGCTGCTGAACTTGAACCTGGACAGCTATTGGCATGGCAGGTATGTATTTGACTCTAGTTCCATTTTACCATTGCTAATAAATGAGCTACTGCAGCAATGGGCAGCCAAGGCTAGTGAGTGGGCCGCAGGAGTGGCCCTCCTTCATTTCAGTGGGCTGCAGGATTGAAATCGGGCACGTGCATTAACTGTGACCAGCATGCACCTCACACATTCCCTTGCTTTTTAAATGTGTGTCACTTCTCATTTTTTCAGGTGTACTCAACTTACCTCTCCGTGCAGGCCCCACCCCTGCTCCACCCCTGGCCTCTTCTGTGCCTCCTCCCCCGAGTGCACTTTGTCACTTATTCCCCTCCTTCCCATCACTTTCGGAGTGCAGTAAACTGGCTGATTTGTACTCTGTTCCTGCTACTTCACCTCGGGTACGTCTAGACTACATGCTTCTGTCGCCAGAGGCATGTAGATTAGGCTACCAGACATAGGAAAATGAAGCGGCGATTTAAATAATCGCCGCTTCATTTAAATTTACATGGCTGCCGCGCTGAGCCGACAAACAGCTGATCAGCTGTTTGCGCGGGTGTGAGCTTTTGTTCTGATGTAAATTGCATACAGTATAAGAACATAGGAAGGGCCATATTGTGTCAAACCTGTAGTCTGTCTAGCCCAGTAGCCTGTCTTTTGACGGTGACTAGTGCTAGATGCTTCAGAAGATATGAACAGAACACAACAATTATTGAGTTATCCATCCAATGTTATGCAGATCCAGCTTTTTGCTGTCAGTGGCTTGAGGCTCCTGAAGCATGGGGTTGTGGCCATCTTGGCTAATAGCCATTGATTAACCTATTCACTATGGTCTGTTTTGAACCCAGTTATATTTTTGGCTTTCACAGCATCCTTGGCAACTAGTTCCAGAGGATGTGCATGCATTGTGTGAAGAAGTACATCCATATTCATGATATCCCTTTTTGACCCCAGCAATTATTCAAAGTTTGGTGTCCAAGGGATGTGCCAGTTAGGAGAAATTGGTGATAGGAATTTCTCTAATGCAGTTTTGTTTATTTACCAAGAAAGTGACTGTGAACATGGAAGAAATTAGATAGCAGGAAGCAGTTCTTTTGCTCAAAGCGCCAACTGCGCGCTTATCAGCTTGCACCCTGATCCAAAAACCTCTCTTCAGGTTTCTTGTAGGTTTTGTTGAATTTAGTAATCATGTAACTGCAATAATTCTTGGTGGTTACATGATTATTCAGTGGCTCCCGGTAGTAGGGCCAGCAGCCAGTATGCTTCCAGCCCCACCCCCAGAGAGCCCCCTGCCACCCTACACTGCTGCTTCTGATATAAAGGCAGTAGCATGGGGTGGCAGGTGGGAGCCAGTTTTCAAACCAGTTCCCTGCACGGGCCAGCTCCTGCCTGCTACCCTGCTTTGCTGCCTCTGTATCGGAGGCAGCAGCACTGAGATGCAGATAACTCCCCTGCATGCTGTTCATTTAAAACTTGGACCAACAGGCTGGGACTGAGCCAGATTGCCAGTCCAAGTTTTAAATGAACAGCACACAGGGTAGGGGAGGTTGTTGTGGTTAACTGGGACCTATAAACAATATCTTATCAGTTAGACGGTTATCCAGCTAGCTGCTAACATCCCTAGTTTCTTTCTGGGGCAATTACTGCTTTCATCTGCTTTTCTCAGGCTGACTGTCTCTACTCTACATATTCTGCATTTCTCACCCTTCATAAAACATAGTGCTAAGCAACTTTGCCCTGAAAGTCTGAGAACTCTTTTTTGTCTTTGATGGAGACTTTGTGATTAACATATCCTGACAGTTTTGTTAATTGAAGAATTCATTCACACCAAATCTCAAATACTTTTCTGATTTAAGCAATCACCAGTATCTCTCAGCATAACATTATATTCTGATCCTGCTTTGAGGTATGAGCTGAGAGTTCCTGGCACCTGTAGAGAGTCCCACTGTAGGCACTGGATTCCTTCTAGGCACAGCCAAGCCTGCATGTCTTAAAATGATTTTGAAAATATCATATGTGAAATCTAACATACATTTTACTTCTGTTTAGGGATTAGCAAATTTGTATGAAAAATCTAACCAAACAGGTGTTGTTGAAAACTTGTCCAATGTTTACCAAAAGCTCTTGGAACTCTATGAAAGGTAAAGAATATTTTAAGATTAAATTATGAAACTGCAATGTGTTATCTTATAATTTCAGTTGCACTGGAAAAAGTCATAGGAATATAGGAATGGCCGTATTGAGTCAGACAAAAGGTCCACCTAGCCCAGTATCCTGTCTTCCAACAGTGTCCAGTGCCAGGTGCTCCGATTTTAATGCTGTGTCTCATACACATGATAATGCGTTAGAGCAGTATTAGCGTGGAGAGAGGGAGGGGGGGGGGGGGGGGGGGTGGGAGGGTACTTCAATACAACTGAAAGTTGGAGAAAACTGAATTTTTATATTAATTTTTACAGCACTTTATTATTTTTTGTACTTTTTACACCCAAAAATTTCATCGCCTGCCCAGCTACGATTAAGTTGTTTAAACAAATGTATTGCAATGGTAGAAAAAAATTGTCTGGAAACTGTAGGTACTGGGGGTATACTTCTAATTTTTTTTTTGTGTGTGAAAAGGGGTACTTTATAAAAAAAAAAAAGGTTGAGAAACACTGTGTTAGAGTAATTAATTCTAATACTCATATTGTATAGGTTAGGCCTTGTCATCCCTAGTGATTTTCTATTGTGTAAACTTGAGGTAGAGATAAATGATCACTTTCCCATTGTATTTTTATCAGAAAAATATTTTGGAATAAATATTATCAAAGCTCTTTGTATCGTTTTGTCATGACTGTATCCATTGGCTTAGTGTATTGCATAGATGGTTGAACTTCATAAATACTTTAGCTCTGTTGATGGTTAACATAAATCTCGTGTCTATTCACAATTTTCCTGATTATATGGAATTTCATTTTTCATTGCAGTTATTGTTCTAAAGAAAGTTAGCTCTGGTTGTATGTGACCAGTTTCCACAATTGAGTATAGTGTTTTTTGCTTTGTTTTTGTATTTTGATTTTTGCTAATGGACATTGTTAACTTTTAAATCCCCCATCTTTTCAAACATTTTTAATTACTTTTGTTACAAATAACATCTAAGATACCTATACTTGAAAGATTAGCAGAAAATACTTTTGTTTCAGTTTGTTTTCTTTGTGCATTTGATAGCAACTAGGATAATCTGACTGTATGTCATCTGTGTAGGTTTTTCATACAGCAACTGCTAGGAAAAAAGCATTCTAAAAAACTTCACAACAATTGTATTGGGACTTGGAGAGACAGAGAGAATCTGCAGCAACTTCTAACTCTCATTTGAATAAGGAAAAAAAAAACTTTGGCTAGATTTTAAGTTGGCAGTGTCTCTTGAAGAATACATTTCTCCATACTTGTTAGAAAACAGACATGACCTTTTTTGTTTTTTTCCTTTCTTCTTTTAGTACTGACAAGCAGAAATGGTGCGAAATATGTAGGAAACTTGTGGAACTCTATCAGCAAGAAAAAAAACACCTCGAGGTTAGTTACTGATTTGTCTTATCTTTTCTTATGCAAATTATTCTTTATTTTTCTTGTAATAAGAACTCAGGTCTCTTCATTATGCACAGCTGTTCTACCAGCATTTACCACTAAATTTAGAGGCAGTCTGTTGAATTGATGTATTTTAACATCAACCCCCCCTAGAAATGGTTAGTTTACCTTTTATTAAAATAAAGTTGCAATCATTTTGTTCAGTACAGTATTGAGAAAGTCACCATGTTGATATGTTATCTCATATAAACAAATTGCATTAAAATGTTAGTTTCTGGTTGCAGTCAATCTATTGAATATTTTTCAGTTTTATGTTTAACTCAAGGACTCAGATGTTAGGAAATGCCAGATCAAAGAAAGCCTGTGTAATCTTAATTCTGCCCTCTTGTGTGTATGAAGTTGTAGTACAGTTTGTAATTAAATGATCAGATACTATTGATTATTTTGATTCCCCTAAAGTTGAGAGCTTTTAATGTTAATTTCACAACAAAAATTCTAAGTCCAGGATTATTATTATTTTGTTATAATCTCTGGATAGCCAGAATATGCCAAAGGAAATTTTGTTTTCAATGAAAGCCAAGGCAGAAAAGCTTTCAAACCTTCAAAAACCTAGATACGTAACACATCTTCCATACTTTGTTCAGTAGTAGGAGGGATTGAACTTGGGCTGTCAGATCTAAATCATGAGCCTCTGCTGTGTGGACCAGAAAATCCAGTTCTGGTATCTCAGAGCCAGTACTATACTCATAAATTGAGCTTTTTGTTTTCAATGAAAGCCAAGGCAGAAAAGCTTTCAAACCTTCAAAAACCTAGATACGTAACACATCTTCCATACTTTGTTCAGTAGTAGGAGGGATTGAACTTGGGCTGTCAGATCTAAATCATGAGCCTCTGCTGTGTGGACCAGAAAATCCAGTTCTGGTATCTCAGAGCCAGTACTATACTCATAAATTGAGCTTCGTCTATGTGGTCCAGTGGGGGGGAGAGAGACAGAGAGCCACACTGTTGTTGTTTGATATTTTCTTTTTTTCACTTGTGTGAATAGTCTCAAATTTTAATAGGTATTCTATTCTCCATCAGACTATAATCCTGAGTTGCTTCACTGCTGGAAAAGATAATATTGTTTGGAGTGTTATTTCCTTCCTTCCTTCCTTCCTCCCTCCCTCCCTCCCTCCCCCCCCATCATCAGAAGTATGGTTTACGACCATTACTTTCTGTCATGTACTTCATTTAATTTGTTACCTTACATAGTTCATATAAGTAAAACATGTAGGCACAGATACAAAATTGGTATCCACATCTACAACTGCAAAAATGATCTGCGGATATCTGTGCATATAAAGTGGATATCTACATATTTACAGTGCTCCTCATGTAGTGTAGCTTGCTTCTGTCAGACCTATCATTAATGCAGTTTCCTCAATTATTGATTTAGTTTTTCAAGGAACACTTGAAAGGTTTCTTTAAAGCAATATTCTGTTATACAAGATTAAGTGAGCAATCACAGACCATCAGTTACCTCTGTAGTACTAAACTGCTTAAATACCACTAATTCTGTTAACTATACTAAATAGCACTGTGAAGTAATTTGTCCAACCCTCACTCATTAGCCCTGTCCTCTTGGCACTCTTGCTAAGTATTAATTCTGTTTTCCAGCCACTTAAATTGGGAAATTGTAAATCTCAATGGCAAGAAATTAAAATAAATTGGAGCAATCACACTGGGTGTCAGATTTTTTAAAGTGTTACAGAATGATTCATTTATTTTTTCTGTTGACAGGTGGCTCGCACATGGCACAAAATGATAAAGAAAAAGCAAGAGGAAGGCGCAGATAATGCTGAGCTCCACCAGCTATGGAAGAGGCTGATCCAATTACTGCCAGACAGTACACAGAATCAAGATAATGAGACACAGCAGTTGGTAATATTTCTTCCTCCTACTCAAATCATAAAAATGTAGGACTTGGAGGGTCAGTTAGTCTATCCCCCACATCATGTTGGTGTACAACCAAGTATCTCCAGAGCATCCCTGACAAATGTTTGTCTAACATGTTCTTAAACATCTCCAATGATGCATTTCCCCAAGATCCCTATTCCAGTGTTTAACCACCCTGACAGGAAATTTTTACTAATATTTAATCTGTCTCCCTTGCTAAAAATTAATCAGATTACTTTTTGTCCTACCTTCAATTAACATTGAGAATAATTGATCGCTGTCCTCTTTATAACAGACTTTAACATATTTGAAGACTTTTATCAGGTCCCCCTTCAGTCATCTTTTTCTCATGACTAAGCATGTCTGTTTTTTAAAATTTTTCCTCATGGGCAAGGTTTTCTAAGTTCTTTTTTGCTCTCCTTTGGATTCTTTCCAATTTGTCCACGCCTTTCGTAAAGCGTGGTTCCCAAAACTGGACATAGTACTCCATAACTGAGGCCTCACCAGTGCCAAGTAGACTAGCACAATTACCTCCTGTGTCTTTCTTTCAAAACTCCTGTGAATACATCTCAGACTATTAGCCTTTTTTGCAACTGTGTCACATTGTGTAACTCATACTCAATTTATGATCCATTTTAATGCCTAAATTCTTTTCAGTTGTATTACTGGCTAGTCAGATACACAAACACAAAATGGTGACTATTTGATTTTTTTCCTTCTGAAGTATAGTACTTTGCTGTTGTCTTTATTGAATTTCACATTATTGATTTCAGACCAGTTCTCTAATTTATCAGGTTCATTTTGAATTCTAATCCTGTCCTCCAAAGATTGCTATCCCTCCCATATTTATGATATATGTAGATTTTATAAGCATACTCTTCATAGCATTATTGAAAACATTAGTGAAAATTAAGAATAGTTCTGGCTCCAGGACAGACCCCTGTGGGAACCCTTTAGCTACATTCTTCCAGTTGGACAGCACACTATTGATAACTGCTCTTTGTGTATTTTCAAATAGTTATTGTTATTTTAACTAGACCACATTTCCCTATTTTGCCTCTGAGAATGTCACATGGGATTGTGTCAAAAGCCTTACTAAAACTCAAGATATGGTCTTCTACTTCCATCCAGCTGCTAGACCTGTAACTTAGTCACTGAAGGAATTAGATTAGTTTGGCATGATTTATTCTTGACAAATCCATCTTCCTATTGCTTACTCTCCTATTAATCTGTAAGTGCTTGTAACTTGATCGTTTAACAATTTGTTCTAGTATCTTTTCAAGTATCAAAGTTAGGCTGACTTGTCTATAATTCTCTAGGTCCTTTTTGTTCCCCTTTTAAAAGATAAACACTCTCCTTCTCCAGTCCTCTGTGATCTCACCTGTCCTCCATGAGTTCTCAAAGATTATCACCAAGTTTCAAGTTCCTTTCAGAGTGTTCCTTAAAATATCTGTGGGTGAATTTCAGGCCATGCCAATTTGAATACATCTAACATAACTAAATGGTCTTTAATCCATTCTTTTTCTATTTTGGCTGGTGTTCCTTTCTCCTTGTCGTTGTTGTTAATTATATTAAGCATCTCGTCTCAGTAAAGCTTTTTAGTGAAGATGGAAGAGAAAAAGCTATTATACACCTTAGTGGAGATAGAAAACTAGACATTGAGTGATATTTTAAAAAGTGTGTAAGTGTCATAAAGAACCCAAGACTCACTGAATTTCATTAGGATTCAGACTTTTGAAAATTTTGCCCTTAGGCTCCTACGAGCCTTCTAACTTTCACTGAAATCAGTGGAAGTTAGGAGCCTAAAGAAGAACACTGTGCAACTGGGCAATAGAACCATATGAAAATATCAAATGCTGCATGTCCCAGAATATTGATAATAGAAAAGAAATGAGGCGAACTTACTGATGATGGAAGAATATGCTTTTAAAAAGACCCTGTGCAAAATAATATTGTGACTTATAAGACTGTTATTTAAAAAAATATGTTCTGAAGCAATACTTTTAAAATCTCAAATTCATTTTGGCAATGTCAAGGCTCTGTCTTAATGGCAAACAAGGTAGAAGAGTCGAAATGAAAGCTGTTTGATAAATTACACTAGTTCACAGCTGTCATAATGGACAGATTCATCCATGGCATTGTGTTGCATATCTTATGCCATTGCATGTATTAGATTGTACAGATTGAACCTCTTTTAACTGGGACCAGGACCAGAGAGTCCTGGTGAAGGGCTGGTGGCTGGGAGCTCTGCAGCAGGGCTGGAGCCCAGTAGCAGAGCTGCCTGTGGCAGGGAAAACGGGAGACAAGCAGCAGGGTTATCACTCAGTGACATCATAGGTGGGGGAGGGGGAGAGAGGGAGGCAGTGAGTGCTTGATGGTGGGGTTGGGAGCTCCGCAGTGGGGCCTCCCAGCAGCACCACCAGGAGCTTGGCAGCCATGCTGCTGCTGAGCTACTCAGCTGCCTGGTGGAACTAGGAGACAGTGGGGGCTGCCCAGTGGTGCTGGGAGCCTGATGACTGGGCCGTCTGGCAATGGTGCAAGGAACCGGGGAGTGGGACTGCCTGGTAGTGCAGCAAAGAGCCTAACAGCCCCATGGCTGCCTGGCAGAGCTGCTTGGTGAGATCGGGAGGCAGCGGGGCTGCCCAGTGAGGCAGAAGCTAAAGCATGACTGCCGCCCAGCAGCACATCTAAACCCCAACAGGAAGGCTGTTCCGTGGGCCGGGAGCCTGGCAGTGGGGCTAGGTGTGTGGGAGGGGGGCTGCCGCTGCGATGGTGGGGCTGGGCCTCCTCAGAAGCCCACAGAGAGACGGGCAGTGAAGCCATGGCGGGGTGAGCCGGTGGCAGGGGGCCCCAGAATATACCTTCCCTCGTCCGGCAAAATCCCTCATCTGGGACCAGTCAGGTCCCAACGGTGCCGGATGAGTGAGGTGCAACCTGTATAACTCCTTTAGCTAGTAGCAGATTTACTACCAGGCTTTCAATACTATATGCATAAAACTTGAACATGAAGAACCGCCATGTGATGTATTTTGCTTTTTGCATAACTGAAGTTCTGTGAAGGACTACATGGGCACAGTGGGGCCAAATCACCATATTATAACCATGTTCACTATAATCATGTTTTACTTTTCTTGCTAAATCACACTTTTGTACACTTACCAATTTCTTATTTAAGCTTTTGACTGCATTTGAACACGCAGTGAACTCTGTGGACGTGATTCCCAGTGAAGTTCATCAGAAGCTTTACAAAGACTTCATTCAGTGCTTGTCAAAAGTAAGGACAGTGTGATTTATAGTCTCTTAAAACAAAAAACACACATCTAATAATACTGCATGTATAGCTAAATAAGTAGCTTTCACTTTTTTTCCCCCCTCTTACAAGTTTCCTCATGAGACTGCTAGGCTGAAGAAGGCCTGTGATGATATGATGGTTTTGTATCCTGCCATGAGTTATCCATTAGAAGTGCTTTGTTTGCACTTTATTCAGTCAGGTGAGTGGAATATTTTTGGTTAATTTTTGTTGTTTCAAATTTTGCATCTTTTTACTGTGGTTTTTGGGGCCATTCTCTGTCTTATATCTCATTCCTCCCAATCTTTCTTACAAAAAAAGGAACCAGTCTTCCAAAATCTGTTATTTCACTTGGTTGAGAGAACATACTGTGTGAGGCAGCTTGTATAATTTTTTAGCACAAGTATGTTGTCTGTATTAGGGAATATGTTTCTACTAACCTAGAGAGGAAGACAATTCTATCATAAACTAGTTTCTTAGAGCTGTGAAAATTAGTGCTAGTGTACCATCAAAGAGCTTCTTAAAAATAAATATTCTTGTTCAAGACCAATTCTGGATTCTTGATGCCTTTGGTGGCAGTTTATCAGTCCTGTGGGAAGAGTGCTTCATGATGCTCAAAAGGAGCTTCTCTGAATAAATGCAGGTTAGCTATGTGAGATTTGAAGAGAATCCTGTTGGGTTGTCATTGGCAAAAAAGATGGTAACAGTAGAATAAAGCTCTGCGAGATGGCTAAAGTGAGAGAATTGGTAAACCAGCATACCCTTTTCTTTCCAGCAGGAACATTCATCAATCTTGTCCCACAAGACTTGCTGGTGGGTGGGAAGTAAACAGGCTTTTGGGGGTTTTTTTCCCCAGTGAAATGGAGGAAAAGGATCTTTAAAAAAAAAAACAGGTTGGTTTGTGTGCTTTAAGAAGGGAGTCTGCTGTCTTCTAAAATGCTGAGGTTTGAAACCGTGTTAAGTTTGTTTTGAGCAGTCACTATTGCATTATTGTTATGCAAGAAGATAGTGAGTTAGGTCCTTCAACTTTTGGGTGCCCCAGCTGAAAGGGGCCAGAAATGACTCTCAAGTTGGACACCCCCTAATAAAAATATTGACCAGGAATGTCACTCTAAAACTAAATAGAAGTGTGCGTCAGGAATCCATCCAGAAATTCCTGTGTTTTTTAAATAATAAAGCTAGATATCTTTCTTGGTTAGGAATGGGAAAATGCCTTATAGTACCAAGTTTCAAGGAACTACACATCGTAGAAATAATACAGCAGCAGAAAAATAATAATACAGAACTCTTAATTTCATAATTTAAAACAATTGAACTCCATGGAAAGGAACTAGAAAGCACAAACCAAACAAGCGTAATTCCTCTGCAAGAAATGCTAGTACATAGTGTATTATATTACAGCAGAATAATCCAGAACATGTGCATTCCATTAAATTAAAGTCTGAATCCAAATATGTAATCAGACTTCTAGGCTTAAAACAGGTAATTTTTAAACTCATTCTGTTTTTGTGACTTAGCATCTTAAAAGCTGAAGTTTCATCTCAAAATAGATATGGCTTACTGCTGTGGAATGCAATAATCTGCACTTAGCACAAAACTGTTAAATTTACTCCTCCTTGAAAAGAGTCATTTATTATTTTCATTTCTATGTGCCTGGAACAATATTGGTAAAATTAATCTAATTATCCAACCATATAGTTTCCCGGGCTTCAGCTGTTTTCAGTGTTCTCTCTCTATCCTTTCTGGAATATGGTTATTCCATTACATTCAATGGGATTACTGATCCTATACCAGCAGTGAACTGGTTCAGAGACAAAGGAAGTTTCTACAAGCCTTGGAATTTGGGGAGAGTCTTTTGCTCTAAAAAAAATTTTGCTTGTGAAAATGCCAGGGGGATTAGCATGTGGTGGAGGTTTTTTTGGTTTATTTTTTATAAAGAACCTAGTCAATTTGGACTGGACCTCAGAAAAATAGGTTCAGACTCATTTCTGCCATTGACCTGCTGTGTGACCTTGGCCAGTCATTTCACTTCTCTGTGCCCAATTCCTTTCCAATCCTATATCTTGTCTTACATCCCTAAATCCCCAAAGATCTTATAATCTTGTAAGAGGTTAACTGGTTTCCTGGTAAGTAGGCAGCTTATCAGCCTGCTTACAATATAACCTGTTCACTGACCCAACTAGCTTGAACTCTCTTCCGGTCGTGGTGGGCACAGCCAGAGCAGTCCCCCGTCCCCTGCCTATGGCAGTCCCTTGGTCACTGCGGGCCCAGCTGTCTGAACCCCTCCTGCACTTGCAATGAACTGGAGCAGCGCCATAATGGGCCCAACTGGCTGGACCCTGCCTGCAGCGGTTAGCCCATTAAACAATACATTAAACAAAATGTTTTTACATCCTTCATAAATGTAAAGATAAAACAGTGGTTTCTTTATTCTAGTTTGCCGATACTATATTGCACTGCAATAAATGTGGACTTGAAACTGCACTCAAATTCTGCCATGTTTTACTTATTTATAGAACACAGAGCCATCTCAATGGGGATAGAGGGGGCCTGGAGAAACCAGGCACAGCTCAAATACAGTACAGGATCTGAAGTTGAAGCTAAAGAAATAGGAAAGACAGTTGACTCTCATCTGTACAATGATAGGTTCAAATTTTTTTGTTTCCAACATTAGAATCTCTCAAGATTGTTTTCATTCTTCTGGTAATGAACAAAGTGCCACAGTTTTCCTCTATAAAAATGTCGTAAGTTTATTGTCAGTTGCAAAATTCTTGTCATTATTGATAATGCAACATTTTCTTGACTTTTTCCAGAACTTAGGTATAAAATTTAGGGAACTTTGGCATTTTTTTGTGACAGTGTGTGTACAGTGTTATAAAATGTGGCTTCTTTCCAGGCCTCTTAAATACAGTGCTGCTCATTTGACTTATTCTACTTATATATGTTCTACACTACAGCATACAACCCAATTATTGATTTTTTCCTTCTTAAGTTAAACAAATATTTGAGTATTTTTGAATAGCCTTCAGTCACTTTGCAGTATAAGCTTGTTTACGGTAATGCTTGGACATCTGTTTTCTCTGATACTCAGCTGTTTTGAAGCCATTCATCACTATTTTCTATTCTGTTGTGGACAAGTACATTTCTTTCCTTCCTGCCTTGGCTTGTATGCTAATGTCTCCAAGTCAGCATGATTCAGTTTAGGAAGATGAATAACAGATACTGAAACCTCATTCATTCTTAGCACCAGAAGAAATAGTAGAGCTCTATCACTAAGGGTGTGTCTAAACAACAGGGCTTAACTCGCTCAATGTGCTCAGCTTACTTTTATGTAAATTGCATCGCTTATTTCGCCATTGTGGTTCACATGTAGCTATTGTCATATGGACTGCATTGATGCAATATATCTACTGCCAGTATGGCCCTGAAGATGCCACGTGGGCTGTAGCTGTTGCTGATTGAGTTGCAAGTGGGCCTTGGGGTATCATTCCTTTTTCACACGAAGAACGGCCTGCTCTGTTTCCAAGTCCTTCAAACCCTTCCAGCAGCATTTTACTCTCTTGATTACAATCTTATGTCAGCTCTTTGTCTGCTGGGCCTCTTCATTTCAGTCTGATACTTCTCTGGAGTTGTTCACCTCTCCCAGAATCTGCAGTAATTACCCCTTCATCTCCCACTGATTTTTATTCTCTGGCATGAGTTTTGGTACCCTTTCTGATGGGAACTAGAATACCATGTGTGACTTTATGATCTAGGGATCACATTTACAGATTCACAAGTTTATTACAAATCTCATGGTATTTCTCAGTATATGAAACTTTTGAAGTTTCCATACTTCAAAATTTTAAATCTACCACAATGTCAAGGTAGAGGAATATCGCCTCATTACAAGTTCCAGAGTGGCGAGGAGTCCTGTGGCACCTTATAGACTAACTGAAGTGTTGGAGCATAAGCTTTCGTGGGCAAAGACCCACTTCGTCAGATGCATGTAGTGGAAATTTCCAGAGGCAGGTATAAATATGCAGGCCAGAATCAGGCTGGAGATGACGAGGTGGATTCAATCAGGGAAGATGAGGCCCACTTCTAGTAGCTGATCTGGAGGTGTGAATTCCAAGACAGGAGAAGCTGCTTTTGTAGTTAGCAAGCCATTCACAGTCATGCAACAAACCTCGGTGCCAGCTCTGCCCACATATATACACCAGCAACACCATCACAGGACCTAACCAGATCAGCCATTCTGTCACTGGTTCATTCTCCTGCACATCTACTAACATAATATATGCCATCATGTGCCAACAATGCCCCACTGCTATATACATCGGCCAAACTGGACAGTCCCTACGTAAAAGAATCAATGGACACAAATCTGATATTAGGAATGGCAACATACAAAAACCTGTAGGGGAACACTTCAATCTCCCTGGACACACAGTTGCAGATCTAAAGGTAGCCATCCTGCAGCAAAAAAACTTCAGGACCAGACTTCAAAGAGAAACTGCTGAGCTACAGTTCATCTTCAAGTTTGACACAATCAACTCTGGATTAAACAAAGACTGTGAATGGCTAGCTAACTACAAAAGCAGCTTCTTCTCTCTTGCTACTAAAATTCACTTAAAGGAGGTCTGATATCTAAGTAAACTATTTTTTCTAAAACTATTCAGTAGAATAAATGGTTAAATTAATCTTCTTGTGATTTTTGGATGTTATGAACCATCAGAATGTGGACATGAGAAATTTTCTTTTTGTGATACTAGGCAGTTTCACTGAGGAGGCCCTGCATTGTTGTTGCAGGCTTATGGAGATGGACTCAAGTAGCAGTCCAGGCCTTATTGGTTTAGGTATCAAATCCCTCCAAGAGAAAAAATATGAAGAAGCTGTAAAGAGCCTAACTGAAGGTAAAGATGTAATATAAAAAGAAAGGATAATGTGTTGCCTAATAATGTATGTTTCTGCTAGGTACAATTGCTAAATTGTACTGGATTTATTTGTAGCTTTGTGCTCAGAGTAGAATCTGTCAAACGTTTTGTAAATAGGTTAAAAAACAGTGAATTTAAAGGGATGTTGTTTGAAGTCTAGCCATTAAAAAAAAAGATAAAAGTTGTTTTGAGTATTACATCTGCTCTTAAATTCCCTTGCCAATTCTGAAGTGTTTGTGTGAATGTGTTTTTTTTCCTTTTAAAAAAAAAAAAGCAATTTTTTTTCTCACGCTGTTGCTAAGTGGAGTCCTACCCAACCCCAAGAGGAGAGGATGCATTTTATACAAAAGAAACAGTGACATTATACTTTGGGGTAGACAAATGCATAAAGTAAATTATCATATTTTAATTTTTCAGTTGTATAGTCTTATGAAAATAAATAAAAAACTTCAGAAGTGTGACTTTTTTCATGAAGCTATGGTGTCCCTTTAAAAATGTTGTTTTATGTGTATATTTACAGTAACAATTATAGTCCTGGCCTTTGAAAGAGAATCTTTAAGCTTTTATACAGCCAGTATAACTACTATGTTGTTTTATGTTAAACTAGTATTTGATATATTAGGCTACGTCTACACTGCAGAGCTTTTGCAGAAAAACAGCCATTTTTGTGCAAAAATTCGCAGAGCGTCCACACTACAAGCGCATTTTTGCACAAGAAAAAGTAGAGTCTGTCACCAGAAGACAGGGCTTTTTGCACAAGAGTTATTCCCTTTTCTATGAGAAATAAGCCTTTTTGCGCAAGAGCTCATGCACAAAAAGGCATGTGTGAATGGGCAACAGGAGTTTCTTGCACAAGAAACCCCTACTGGAAAAAGCACAGGTGCTCTGATGGCCATTCTGTGAATGGGCATCAGAGCTTTCTTTTGCAAGAGCGTCCATGGCAGTGTGGACACGCTCTTGTGCAAGAACTTTTTGCAGAAGATCTCTTAGGCAATAAGTTCTTGCGCAAGAAGCCTACAGTGTAGACATAGCCTCAATGGCTTGATTGCACTCTGATGTAAAAGGCTGTCTGAAAATCCATCCAGCCCTCCCACCCCCTGTCCAGCCCTGCTTCTTCTGCCCGCCTGACCCGATCTCCGCCGGACAGCTCTGCTGCCCCCAACCCTGCTTCTGCCGCCTGCCTGCCCCTCCCCCCATTTTCCACTGGACAGCCCCGCTGTCTCCAACCCTGCTTCCCGGAGGCCAGTTCTCCTCCCTCCCCTACCTCCTCCCAGCCTTCCCCGCTCTGCTCCCCTCCCGGCAGCCATGCTGAGGCCTGATATTTTTTTCCTGCGGCCTGGTACCAAGCCACGGCCCATAGTTTGGGAAACACTGCCCTATGATGAACCCTGGTCAGGATTCCTTAGATATTCTACCTCTTCTTGCCAAGAGAAGAGATTTTGGTATGTCATGGGAGATGTGGGATCTGAACAATAACCCCCATGAGGTCTGGCATTGTATACTTTAAAATATTTCATGTTTTTTGGCCAAAAACATTTTAGGTTTTCAAGAATCCAGCTTGTCAACCGAGATTTTCCTGTAGAATGCAAATGCTGTTTCCCCTCCTCCCCCCTACAAAAATCTCTTTAAAAGCTTTCTTTGGAAAGTATGCTGTTTTGACATAAAACTGATTTTTTTTTTGCTTAAAAATGGAATTCCTGAACATCTTAATATTTTTGATCAAGACCTAATAATTCTGCAACCAGTACTCTTCATGAACTCAAATTGCTGGTTAATTTAGTTAAAATTGCCTAGTGCAGGCAGGAATGACCTGGAACAAGTAAAATTGTGTTGTTCTCTCTTTCAAAATATCTCCTTATATTGTGTGGGGTTTTTTTTCTAAATCCAACACCATGTTGATGACAGGAATATAGTTAATACCATGTGTCTGTGTTTCATCTAGTTTTGCTCATCAAGGCTCTGAGAGAACTTCAGACTGGCTTGGTAAAGGAAGTTTAATCTGTTATTAGCGGATACTAGTGGACAAGCGAGGTACTTACTAGGGATGTGAATGGTTAACTGGGAATGCTTACTGGTATGGTTAACCAGTTAAATATAATGTTCAATGGATTAAACGGGATTTTACATCTCTAGTACTTATACTTTTGAGTAGCAGATTGCCCTCCAGCCACAAAAAAACTTGAGCCAGAGAGGGGTAACTAAATCTCAGAACTTCAGTGAACACCTCAATTATCACCAGATTTTTAACATTACACTGTTAAGGAAGGCTACCGAGGAGGTTGTGGTGCATTAGCTTGAATATTATCCAAGTCTTGCAGTTTCTTTGATCTTTCAGTCTGTCTGTATACCTGGATGGAGCTCATGGGCTTTGTCTACACTACAAGGGTTTTGTGGCAGAGAGTATGCAAATGAGGGACTCATTAGGATGAGTTGCAATGTCATTAGCATATTTTCTGCCCATGCTTTTTGCACAAGGGGTTTTTGCGCAAAAAGAAGCAGTGTAGCCGCTTCTGTTTAGTGTAAAAATCCCCTTGTGGCAAAATCCTTATGCCTCTCCTGGAAGCGGCTACACTGCAAAAACCCCTTGTGCAAAAAGCATCTGCGGAAAATATGCTAACGACATTGCAACTCATGCTAATGAGTCTGTCATTAGCATACTCTCTGCTGCAAAAACTTGTAGTGTAAACGTAGCCATGGTGTTTTGGGATCCATATATCTTTTGGTAGGGGAGAAAGATCTAAGGAGACATTTTTGGAGCAGTCTTGGAGATTTTAATGCACGTTTCCTATTGTTGGGATGCGTACTCTTCACTATTAAATGAAAAATGTTATATTAAAAATAAAACTATACCTCTAAACTATAGTGTTGTGTAATTTCTTGCTTTCCCCTCCCTAGTTTCTTGCTGGAGAGGAAGAATATTGTTGAATGTGTTATAATAGCAAAATTTGCACTTTTTTTTTTTTAGTTCCACCTTATCTCATTTGAATTATAAGTAGCAAGAAAATATTATAATACTGCACTAAACTAAAATAATATCTTTATTTTCTTCCTCTGTGCCACTTGGCATGGTGATTAGCGAGGGTGTGTTTGTGATGGAACTGATTGTATTACCACTTTCGACAGCCACTAAGGCTATCTGTATCCCCAGGTTTTATTTTAAACAAATACTGATCTTAAAAATATTCTAGGTTTGAAGCAGACTAGCCGTTGTCAAGCAGCATGGTATTATCTGGCAGAGGCGCAAATGAAAATGCATAAATACAAAGAAGCTGTTTTTTCCTCCAATCAAGGTAATTTATCTTATAGCTGAAAGGAGTAGTAGTTCCTAATCTTTCACTTTGTACTCAATTAAAAATCAAATTGGTTCTGTTGTTACTTACATTTTAGCAAATACGAAGAAATGAGTTATGGTGCTGCTGTTGTATAACTATCTTAAGAAATCTTATCCCAAGGCTAGTAAGGTCTTTCTCTTCAAAATGTTAGTAGAAAAATAATTCAGCTGTAGTGCCAACTGAAGAAACTAATGTTATGGTTGCAAATAGAATGGTACTCTGTATTGATGTGTTTTTCCTCTCAAAAGGCTTGGTGCAATTGAAGGATAAAATATCTAGCTATATTTTCACAAGTCTGTGTTATAGGTACCCACCTTCTTGTCATACTCACTCTAGTTTTAAGCATTTGAGATTCTCGGCTATTACTTATTTTATCTATCTACAAAATTGCAGTTGGTGCTATTAAGTTCAACCTTCATTTCAACCTGTATTTTACTCTACACAGATGAGAGAGGTAATTTTGCTGTTAGAGATGTTAGTTCAAAATGTCTAAAAACTTTGTACCTAGTAAGTTACAAGATTATTATAATTGGAAAACGAGGGAAAACTAGTGAAAATGAGGTATTTTCTTTTTTTCAGTTTCATTTGTATGTTTGACAGAACCTTGTATACAATCTGATATTTTTCTTAGTACAGTTAGTTGCTCTCTTGCTAAAAGATTATTTAAATAATGGGAACAGAAAGACTGTGTAATATGCTTAAAAAATCTTAAAGAAAAGGCATGATAGAGTGTACTCTGTCAAACTTGAACACTTAAATAAGTAAGCTTCACAATATGTCAAATTGATAGTAGTCTTCCTAAATGGAGCTAAAACAAAATCTTTTATTTTTAACAGCTCTTAAGATATCAGGACAACTTGATGATTCTAGTATCAATCTGCAACAGAAATATCTTGTTCTTCGTTTGAAAGCAGAGGCTCTTATTAAAATATCAGGCGCTGACACTGCCGAAGAAGCCATTAAGACTCTTGAGCAGGTAAAGAAAATCAAGCTATTTTTCTGTTTCACTCACAAGATGTTGCCTCTTCCTCATCTGCTTCTTTTATTCACAGTGCATAGAATTATTTTATATCCCAGTATTTGGTAAAACATGTCTTTCTCCACCCACCCCGCCCTCTTCCTGCCATCTCTTACTCAGTATTCTTAATCACTTCAAACTTTGACTTGGCAATTTGTCTTCCACTATCAGTCTTTAAATTTTCAACCTATCTCAGTGATGACCTCCATTCTCGTACTTTATTACATGTGGGCCTTTATTTTTGTTTTCATATTAAATATAAACACAATGAAACAAAACATCTATAAACACAAACACAATGGAAATACCAAATTAAAAACAAATTCAGTTTTTATTATTTGTCAAACCTGCAGGGTAGATTGATTTAAATCACAATTTAAATTACCAAGAAAAAAATTATTGATTTAAATTAAGTTTCCCACTGATACTACCTCATATTTCTTAAACAATGGTGAAAATCTGATAATTAAAACATGTTAACTGAGAACTCAGTAGAGCATTTTACAGCCTCTAGGAGGGTATACTTTTATGTAATTTTTAGATAATTTGATTTGTATTAATTTAGGAAATAGTACATAATACTCATTATTTGTGTTACCCTGCAGATGCAGCAGCATACATTAGGAATGGTAAGAACCAAATCACACACAAACACAATAGTACTTATACTTTATTAAACTAAATCTAAAATGTTACATAAATTATTCACATTTGCAAATGAAGCAGTTTCCTAAGTTGCCATCTGATGGCTGTCCTCAAACTTTTTTTTTTTAATTTTCAAATTTTGTAACTCTAACAGACAAATCATCACAACACTAAATGTATAGTGACCTTTAAACGTATACAACTAGCTCTCGTCTTTATAGACAGAAACAGTAATAATAGTTTTCCTGCTTGTTCAATTCCCCGTCGATTTCTTAGCTTTGAGCGAATAGTATGAAACAATGAAAATATTCTCTCTGTATGCACAGGAAGCTATTGCAATGTAAAGTTGGCTTAGCAACTGAAGGACCTCTGTTTCAAGGTGCCTGACTAATGATTTCCACCAGTTCAGGGGAATGACTTTGTTCAAAACATCATCAGTAAACATATACTGATTAAATGGTTTGGCTCCAGCCCTGAAATCTATTATGACTGGCATAAATGAGGAGTGATTTTGAGCTGCCCAGGCCATGGCAGCATTGTCACCTTCAGAAATTAGGCATCTACCTTTATATCTGAGGTTGAGATTGTCTTCAAGAAAATGAGGTGGAGTTACTGTTTGAACTGTTTGCTTCTTTATTACCTGTGGTTTAATTTTCTGGTGAGATTTCTTTCATCACTATCTCTTGCAGTGCCTTCCAAATTTCAATAGCATCAGCAAGGCAGCAGCAATTTCTCTAAAGTTTAAGGCTATGGATAATAGGTTTTGGCGTACTGAGTATATCCTTTCTATTCCTCTTTAATCTAATGTTAGATACTTTGGATGAGATACATCTATATATTTAATCATAGTTTTCTTCACAAAAGTTTTATGAGAATAGGCCAGTTCTTAATAAATTGTTCCAAAGAATCAACCATTGAATTCCACCAAGCATCTTGAGGGAGAATTAGTTTGGAGCCCCTGGCTCTCTTCAATGAAGCTGAAGCAAAATGTTTGTTACAGAAGTATTTTGTGACTTCAATAAAATTTGTTTTTCCTGATTGTATCTGTTATTTCTGAAAGATATACAATCCCCTCTTCTGTTGTCACAAAGGCACACATTACTGGATCATTGTATACAGTTACGCCTATCAAGGCTTAAACTGGCAAATTTTCCCTCCATGTTTCTTGCATAGTGTTCAAGTTGCTTCTCATACATTGTATCTAGAAACT